ACCTTCTGGTACTGTCCCCGCTGCTGCTACGACTGCTATGACTGTTGCTGCTGCTGCACTACTACGACGAGAACTACTGCTACTGCTACTGCCACTGCCACTGCCACTGCCACTGCCACTGCGACTGCTACTGCTACTGCTACTGCTACTGCTGCTGCTGCTGCTGCTACTGCTACCGCTACCGCTACTGCTACTGCTACCGCTACCGCCACTGCTACTGCTACTACCGCTGCTGCTACTGCTGCTGCTGCTGCTGCTACTACTGCTGCTACTACTACTACTACTACCACTACTCCTACTGCTACTGCTACTGCTACTGCTACTACTACTACTACTACTACTACTACTACTACTACCTCGCTGGGACGTACAATACACAGGACACTAGTTTGCTTGCCATGGTCGTTTTATGAAGGAGTCAATGGCCTTTTGCCCTCACACTATACAAGTCTGAGCATTGCAACGAAACATGCATGCAGGAACCCCTTTCAGGCTGATGAGAGTTACTTGCAAACTCTGTCGAATCTAGGATGGACAAGCAGCAACTTCAAGCCTACAACCAGACTTAGCCATCCGGAAATCAAGTCCGCCCAAGCATGAGGCACATTGGCCAGAGCCAGAAGTTCCTGCATGTCTGAAGCATGCAAGAGCAGTTGCCTCCCAAAGTCTACAGGCTCGTTTCAGTTCAGCAGATCGAGAGATGCCGTGATATGAAGAGGTACGATGCAACATTGAAATGAAAGAATAACATGATGCGCGTCTGTCAACCCTCGGCCTTGGCAGTCATTCGCTGCACTGGTGCATCCTGCGAGACAAGCACTGAAGTTCATTGGAGGCCGGAGTTCTGGCCTTTTCAGGCTGTCAAGCTGAAAGACTTCCCTGCCACTGCTCCGAAGGCCATCAGACGCCTGTGCCGTTGCAAGCCTGCTCGTGTAAATCTGTTATACTTCGACATGAAGCACTTCTTGAAGCCACCGGGCAACCCTCAAAAGCACTCCCCTGTGGGCGGCCTCAGGCAATGCTTGCTGGGAAGAAAGGGAACTCAGCCAGGCTTCACCTTAGGGCATGGTAGGCTTCGTGCTTTGGATCTGTCAGCCCTTGCCTGAGCTTCGATTGGCTCAAAGAAGCTCGACTGGATTTACCAAGGCCTGCAACGTATGGAACACAGCATAGGATCCACCCCGTGTCTGACACGAATATCAAAAGCGCTTGAGACGTTGTGCCACCAGCCTCTCAAATGCGGTAAGCGCTCGCGACGAGTCTCCGAGGCTCGGACGGTCTCGAGCCCGGCTCTCATAGCCATTGCGAAGATCCTTCCAAATTTCGGAAAACCAGGCATCTTTGAATATGATTATTCCTCAAACCCGTGTCCACTTGCCTCGCCAAAGGACGCCCTCGCCCGACCAGGAAGCGCCGGCAACGACCTTTCGCAGCCCCCGTTTGCACGTCTGGGCTTTGGCGAACCCATTCTTGACAGGGTTGAGTTTCTTGCTCCTGCTCCCGTCCCTCGTTCCGCGTCAGAAGTATGAAGATAAATCACATAGGCACGGACACAGACGTCGACAAAGATATGGATGTGGATATAGACATGGATATAGACATAACATAGACGAAGACATTGATATAGATATAGACATAGATGCATGATACCTACTGTTATATCGCAAGCCATAGCTATATATGCAAAGACAGATGTAGATACAGACATGGATACACATATAGACATAGACAGGGAGACAGACATAGATATAGATGTAGTTACGTAAAGATATAGATATAGACATGAATCGATGTAGATATAGCTACAACTACAGCTGCAGACACAGATGCAGCTATGCTGTACGTATAGTTGGCACAAATAAAATGTAGATATAAACAAAAATACGGAAAAAAAGCTGTAAGTATAGATGCACAAAGGGTACATTCAAAGTTCCATGCATGCATGTGTGTGCATACGCAAACAATAAAAAACAACTAACAAACACCATGTGCAAAACATGGCTGTCAGCGAGACCTGCCGATGATGAAGCGGGTGGCGTGGATGCATGCAGACAGACAGGCAGGCAGACAGACAGACAGACAGCCAGAGACGTTTGAAACCTCTGTCTGGGTGCAGGACGGCGATGCTTTCATCGATGCAGGTGACCCTAGCATGTCGTCCTCGACCTCCTCCACCTGCTCGGTATTCGGAAAAAGCCTGTGCTTTGCCTCTTGACATTGCCAAACAGGCCTGGCAATCGCCCAGAAACACGACCCCACACCACCCACACCTCCCACCCATTCGCGACCTGAGGCTCAAGTTCCAGCCTTCACTTCATCTGGGCCGCTTGCCTGTGACCAAGCCTCTCCACAACTTCGCTGAGGGAGGTGCCTTTTTTTTGGGGGAGTGTACTTTCAGGTCGTAGGATCGCGGCTCTTCTAGACTCAACCAACGTGCTCTGACGATTCTGGTGCTTCGGAAGCTGAGCCTAAGAACTAGACAACCAGGCGCGTCGCCAATCAATAGCACTGATGCCAACAAACAGCCTGCAGACGACAATGCAAATGATCATGGCGTGTCAGCGATGACACTCAGACCGATGGCCGTACATGCCTGCATTTGTAACACAACGACGATTTTGAGAGCGGCCACAGTATGGGCCTCTACGTCTATGTGAGACCGGTACCTCACACCCCTCAGCTGATCCTTACGGAGAAGTAACAAGAGCTTGCAGCTTGTTGCAACATGTTACCAACATGCTCTCCACTCATGGCAAATCAGGGCAAAGCCTGCAGACTCTGGCTTCTGATGTCGAAAGCTCCACACACTGACATCTCCAACGAAAGCTGTGCAGGCCGCGACCGCATTGTCCACGTACGTGGCTTGTGGAACCTGCACGCAAGCAGTGCATGAGCTTGGGATCGTGCAGTGGGCACTGCTTGCAAACACATTCTTCCTTCCCTCTCGTAAAACTCGAGGAGCCTCGGCGCCTCGGCCCTAGCAACATGCTGAAAGACCCTGCTGTGAGCAGGACGCCTCGGAAGGCGCTGTGGCTGGCAGCGGCGGCTGAGCAGGAGGGCTTGGTGAAAGCGTAAACTTTTGAAGCACCACGAGTGTTTGAGCTGAAGGTCATGCAAGGAATGAATCTCCGAAAATCAAACCGTCACCTGGCATCGTATTTTAGCTGGCATTGACAGCATCATCCTCCTTTGGAGGACAAATCCTTAGCAGTGAAGGGTCATCCCCCGAAAGGCACCACCGGGCTCCGAGCTTGAAAACCTTCCTGCCAGCGTGCAAAGGGCCTGGTGCAATGCATGCACTTCATCTGCACGCTCCTCCTCGAGGAGCTCGTCCGAGGTGCTGGCAACCTGAATGTCTTTGAGCCGAACGGACGGGTGGGAATTGCTGGCGGCATGTCGTGCTGTGGATAACGAGAAGGGGAGTCAAATGGCACGCAATGGCTGTATGCCAGCCGCTCCGCTTGAGACTGGGCAGAATGAGACAGTACTCCTTGGGGTCGACAAACTGAACGAATGATGGCTGCATCTCACTCTTCGCTCGGATAAGGTTTCGCTTTCCGCTGAAGCGACCACCTACACCGACATACGAGGGATAATCAAGCACTTGTGGTTGCCAAGACTATTTTCTTCAAGTCGGTTACATCATGTTACATCACTATACGCATGCAGGCACAAGCAGCAGGCAAGAGATGCAGGAGCTGCCGCACACCTATGTAAGAACGTCACTGCAACAAACTAAACTGCCCTTCCGGTACTTTGTCGGCAGCACCCAACCCCTCAACAAGAAGATGAACTGCTCTTGTGCGCTAAGTTTCATCATGCTTCAAACGCTGGTCGGTTAGCGCAACCCCGCACTTTTGCGTGATCTCACGTGAAGGTCTTGCTGGTTCTGTACCCACGAGCATCAACTCTGTTAGAACACATCGATGCCGACTGACGAAGCGAATCTGCAGGGGAGAAACGCGTTAAGAACCATAAGATTTTTTGGCGAATCCTGTGCTGGCTCGGACACATCGAGTTTCCAGTGCAAGATGACATGATGAACAGGGTCCTGCTGATGTTGGCCCTCCACCACGGCGCTACAAGCCCGTCAAGATTTGCACTCGTGTCGAACACATCCGCCACTTCGCCAGTGTCGACATCTTCAAGCGAAAGCGAAATGCCGATAGTTTGGCAAAAACATGCGCAAAACAAGCAAGCATATGGCGATCGGCAGAGAAATATCAGTGCCACCAAGAAGCGTAAACCTTCTTCACCTGGGGCGCGAGGAAGCTCATGGGGATGCAAGATGTCACATTCTGAAACGAATCGCCAGCACGAGCCAAGGCTCTAGAGACAGTGCCTGAGCATCCGTGTAGAAACCGAACACAACATGTATCTGAATCTGTTTAGGGCACCTTGCTCCTCAACAAAACATCGCGCGGCTCCTAAACATGATTCCTTCGGAAGAATACCCTCGACCCAGCTGAAAGCGCCTCCGTCCGCTTGCCCCGGCGCAAAGAGCCGGCTAGCCGGCGAAGAGCATGCATCGACTCATGCAAAAATTACTCAACAGTTTGATGCATTCTTTGTCTTCTCGGCCTTTGCTGCCATCCGAAGGTGGTCATGAAGATAATATAACAATCACGACAAGCAGAAGCACGCAGAAAGAACGTACGGGCGAAAGAACAGACGAAGGGAGCTGTCGTCGCCGTCGCCGTTTTCGTTACCGTCGTACGTTGTCGTTGTTGCCAACCAGCACGGCTTTCAGCACGGCTTACAGGGTGTTTTTCTGTTCTAGTTATGCAGGCCAAAGGCGCAAGTGTTAAGCCACAGAGTATTGACAAAACCCAGATGGAGAGGGCAGAAATCTGCGATTTGTTTAAGAGATCCAACAAAGGATACACGGACGTTGGCTACAGTAAAAGCTCGACTGCTTTGGCTATGCAAGTGGGTCCACGCGAGCAGTTACATTGGCCGTGGCACATACGAGCTGCATTATGCAGCAGGTCACTGCGGCCGCTCTGCGGCGGATGCCAGGGGAGAGTTTTGCAGGAACCGAAAGTTACGCCAGCGTGCAAAGGGCCTGGTGCACTGCATGCACTTCATCTGCAGGCTCCTCCTCGAGGAGCTCGTCCGAGGTGCTGGCAACCAGAATGTCTTTGAGCCGAACGGACGGGTGGGAATTGCTGGCAGCATGCCGTGCTGTGGATAACGAGAAAGGGAGTCAAATGGCACGTACTTTGTTCCTGTCTTCGCGGCGACGGTGACCATGGGGAGGTCCGCAAGTCCTTCAACGAACGTGATTTCCTTTTCTCTCTTACTTCCGCATCTCGTAGAAGCCGAAGAGGATGCATGTTCCCATTGCGACAAAGAGGCTTCCTGCTACTACTACTTGTAGCATCATCGCTGCCATGAAAGTTCCTTGATAGGCAGCTCCGCTACCATGTTAAAATTCGGGGTTCACTAAAGGTACCTATCCCAAAGCACTGCGGCACACTTTTCCTTGTACCGCACTGTTGTGTCTGGGTTCTTGAGCCTGCGGGCGAAAGCACGGCTCAAGCTGTTCCTGTACACGTCAACTGTGTGCAGACACTGTGTTCCTACTTGGCAGTAATGTTTAACACTTAACGTTAACTCCGATTTAACTCCATGATTTTTACAACCTCCTCAATTTTTTCTAGGGGGTTGTAAACAAATCGCAAACATATCCTGTTGTAGGCTTGGGTTCGGTACTACAAATTNNCCTACCTACATGCATGCATACATGCATACACATACACATACACATACACATACACATACACATACACATACACATACACATACACATACATCTACATGCATGCACATACATATACATACATACACATACATACACATACATACACATACATACACATACATACACATACATACATACATACATACATACATATACATACAAACATACATACATACATACATACATACACATACATATGTACATACATACATACCTACATACATACAAGTACATACATATACATGCATATACATACATATACATACATATGCATACATATACATACATATACATACATATACATACATAGACATGCATATACATACATATACATACATAGACATACATAGACATACATATACATAC